ATATCTAAATAACATAAAAACATTAATCACTGTCCATCTTGAATACATAGCGGAAAGAGGAAGCCTGAGAGTTCACAAGGTTAATACTGTATGGACCGAAACCGTGACTGAATCTGGATGTTCTGCTTTGGGTACCACGGAACCGCCCTCCTCCCAGAAGGTAACGAGGAAAACAGGTCGTGGAGAGGGTGTGTAGCGTTCCCAGACAATCTTGCGGACCTTGCTCAAGCGTCGTTTATGTGCCACATCCTGGATGGAAGGGAGGGAACTGCCAATGATCTTTTCAGCCATCCTCACCACTCTCTGCACTGCCTTCCTGTCTGAAGCAGGGATGCTTCCAAACCAGACTGTGTTGCTGTGTGACAGGATGCTCCCGATCGTCCCTCTGTAGAAAGTGGTGAGGACAGGGGAAGGAAGATGTGCTTTTCTCATGCGACGCAAAAAATGCAGGCACTTCTGTGCCCGCTTCACCAGGCTCTCGCTGTTGAGCAACCAAGCCAGCCTACTTGTTAACTGCACACCCAGGAATGTGATGCAGGTGATTCTCCACAGGAGAATCATTAATGCACAGAGGAGTGTGGCAGTGCCTGTCTTTTCTGAAATTGACAATGATCTCTTTGGTTTTACTTATGTTTAAAACCAGGTTGTTTTTCTGATACCAGTTCACCAAACCCTCAACCTCCTTGTGATAAGCACCCTCATTGTCATCATGAATAAGGCCCACTATTGAGATAAAATGGAAGGGTTGCATTTAGCTAGTACAGTAGCAAATATGATTATCTTGTGATATAAAGTTTCTTAGCATTCCTAGTAGCAAGTCATCGGTGATCAGAAAGGGTTCCAAAGGTCGCCAATGCCCCAATCCATAAACTTTAATCTAATTTTTTTTTATTCTCACTCATTTGGCTTTATTACATGAAAGCAAAAAAGTAAATCTTGGGTTTGTCGGCTTATTTCTCCCTAAGCCAAACCTGGTACCTTTGCTGAAGTCTTTAGGATCCAAAGATAGACTATAACCCGGAAGTGTTTCCAGAAGAAGTTTATAGCAGGCTCTCCAACCAGGGTCCACGATGCTTGGGGCCACACACTGCATTGCTGCCACTCGCTTGAAAAAAGCTGATTTGCGATGAAATCCAATTCGCTCGTAGAGCTCAGAAAGAATGCTGTAGCGCTGGATTTTTTCTTCTTCAGAAAGCTGAAATTTAAAAGAAAAAAAACTGATTTTAAAAGAATTTGTTTAAAAGAACATATGTGTGCATGTGTGTGTATGTGTGTGTGGATAGATAGACATACATACATACATACATACATACATACAGACAGACAGACAGACAGACAAGAGAGGGGGGCAGGCAGGCAGGCAGGCAGGCAGGCAGAGAGAGAGAGAGACAGAGAGACAGAATAGATAGATAGATAGATAGGTAGGTAGGTAGACAGACACACAGACAGACAGACAAGGAGGGGCAGGCAGGCAGGCAGGCAGACAGACAGAGAGAGGCAGGAAGGAAGGCAGACAGACAGACAGATAGAGAGAGACAAATAGACAGACAGAATAGGTAAGTAGGTAGACAGACAGGCAGACAGACAGAGACAGGCAGGCAGGCAGGCAGGCAGGCAGGCAGGCAGACAGATATAGTCCTGTAGCTAGACAGATGAATGGATAGACAGACAGACAGACAGACAGACAGACAGACAGACAGACGGATAGGAAAGACAGGTAGGTAGGTAGGTAGGTAGGCAGGCAGGCAGGCAGGCAGGCAGGCAGGTAGGCAGGCAGGCAGGCAGATAGCAAAAGGAAATAACATTTCACTCAGCAAACATTTAACATAAACAAGTGACGTAGGAATGCTGGACAGACATTTCCACTTTAGGTATTTTCTCATTGCTTCCTAAAAAAACAGCAGTTTGCCTCTTCCAATGTGTAAGTAACTGCAATAATAAATCATTTTAAACAAAGCATTGTGGTTTAAGATAAGCCACACTTCCCTATTGCTGCTGACTCTCTGAAATATGCACCCCCCTGCCCGCTGAAGATTGGACTTACCCTGCTATGATTACCTTGTAGAAAACATTTAAAACAAAGACTTTCCACACAGGTCCTTGAAGACTTTAATTTCTGCATTTCACTTCACATCCAATCATTAGGGGGCTATTTTAACATTTTACTAATTTTGGGAGGGTTGTTACAACGTGTACAGTTTGACCATCCGATTTCTAAACTGCCTAGAGATGTGTGAGCGCAGCGGAAGACAAAATAAAATTGGAAAACGTTCATCTGAAGTCCATCCAAAAATATTGCAGGAGCAGCTCTGCAAAACTGAACATAACTCGGTTACATTGCCAAAAGAAAAGAAAAAAAACAGAACAAGGCAGAACTTGCTGCTGGATTCTGCACATCTGTTATATGAGCAGCTGAGAAACAATTTTATAAAAATAACTGTAATCAGCCTAGGAAAGTTACCTGTACATTGTAATACCAGATGAACGTATTTTAACATTCTGCTAAGAGTTTCATGGAATATTCCAGGGAGACAGACTGAATTCCATCTCTTATCAGATCAGCATCTGGCTTTTCAGGAGACTGTTTGCAGATCCATAAAATTGTAAGGATATTAACTATTTCTCAATTTAAAAAAATGTTGTGTAGTCAGAAGTACGAGGGCAATTTGGAAATAAACCTCCGTTTGGTTATCAATGACAGACACGCGCAGATACAGAATTTTTATTATGCACATTAGAAAACTACAGTATTGCATTACTTTTCGACATAATCGCCATTCAGATTGAGGCATTTGTCATAAACGGCTTACAAGGTTTGAAATTCTTTAGTCGTCGTCGCTCGGCGCCAAATCTGGGCTATTGGGGTGTGTGTGATCAAAAACATCCCAGCGGAAATGCTTCAAAAATTCTTGGGTGACTCTGGCGGTGTGCGGATGAGCATTATTGTGAACCAACACCACACCAGAAGTGGTGCCATAGACCAGGGCTTTTCAACCAGTGGTACGGGTACCATCTGTGGTACATTGGCACCTGGCAGGTGGTACGCGACCATCCTAGAAAAGTGGCAGCGGGGAGGGGAATGAGCTGAACAGGTGGCACCACCGCACAAGCCTGAGCGAGAGATGGCTGGAGCTGCAGGGCTGTCAGGACTCAGCGGAAGCCCCAGGATCAGTGCCGCTTTCCAGCTGATCGGTGCTTCTTCAGGGCTGTCAGGGCTCAGTGGAAACGCCAGGATCAGTGCCAGGCTTCAGCTGGAGCTCGATGCTGATCCTGGTGCTTCTGCTGAGCCCAGAAGAAGCGCCCATCAGCTGGAATGTTGCAGCATCTCCAGGGTCTTGTGATTTACATTCAGATATTTGGCAACTGATTCATATTTATGACGGTCACAGTGTCCCAGGGTCATGTGAAGTGACCAAAACCTGCTGCAACCACCCAGGAGACAGGGAGAATAAAAACCAAACACCCCCCCCACCCCATCCCTGCTGCCAATCCTCAACAGAGATGCTCACAACAATGAAAACCTCAGATAGGAGGAAGAGCGCTGCTGGGTGGGCAGGCAGGTGTCTTGCTCGGCTGTGGCTTGGGGGGCACTTTTTTCAGTGCCATTGTAACTTCGAACAGTCACTAAGCGGACTGTTGTAAGCTGAGGACTACCTGTACTTTATCACTTTTTTTTTGTCATCAAGTTTTTGACACCTTGCTAGGCGACTGGTGGTACTCGGATGTTGCCATATCCTAAAAGTGGCACAATGGGTGAAAAGGTTGAAAAGCCCTGCCATAGAAAATCCCACCAAATGTGAAGAGGACAAAGGAGTAACTGCTAATGAAATTCACGGAGCCTGGTTCGACCATCAATTCAGAAGTCTACTGGGAAAGGTTACAAAAACTCAGATGAGCCATCCATAACAAGCATCGGAGCCTGCTGACTTCCGGTGTGGTGTTGGTTCACGACAATGCTCGCCCGCACATTGCCAGACGCACCCAAGAAGCAGTTGAAGCAGTTCCGTTGGGATGTTTTTAATCACATACACATCCCGATAGCCCAGATTTGGCGCCGAGCGACTACCACAAAGGAATTTCACACCTTGTATGACGTTATGACAAGGGCCTCAATTTGAACGACGATTATGTCAAAAAGTAATGCAACGTTGTAGTTTTCTAATGGGCATAATAAAAGTTCTGTATCTGCGAGTGTCTGTCATTGATAACCAAACGGAGGTTTAATTCCAAATTGCCCTCGTATATCCCACTTTGCAAAACCAGCTAGCTCTTTGAATATAAAGCAGTATGTTCTTTCCCGCACTGAAATACTCGGGTGCCCTGTACTAAGTGACAAACACATCTGCTTTGAGATGGAAGCAAAATATGCCTTAGTTAAATGAAAGAGTGAAAGCTATCTCGTGACTACGGTAAAATGGAAACCCCAATCAGAAATTCCCTGAAAATGGGGCGGGAGGAGGAGGAGGAGGAGGAGGAGGAGGAGGAGGAGGAGGAGGAGGAGGAGGAGGAGNAGGAGGAGGAGAAGGAGGAGGAGGAGGAGGAGGAGGAGAAGGAGAAGGAGGAGAAGGAGGAGGAGGAGAAGGAGAAGGAGGAAAAGAAGGAGGAGAAGGAAAAGGAGAAGGAAGAGGAGGAGGAGGAGAATTATGTTATTTTGTTTTCCTACAGATTTAAAAGTGTATGCATCATCAATTATTCAGCAAATAGTCCTTGCTTACAGCAGTTGCTCAGGGAGTACAAAAGCTCTTGCTGGGTATCAAAATATTACAAGTTCCCAACCAACCAATACCGCAACCAACCCAGCAGTATCCTTATTGTATGAACACCCCACTGGGTTGTTTAACCAGAGGTTGGGTGCATGCAAACCCAACAGGCTTCCCTTCACTCAGTCGATTCAAGCAGAGATGAGACTGCCGTCTGCCTAGGATGGTTTCATTTGAATTCCTGCACTGAGCAGGAGGGTGGGATTCTATGATTCTGCCCGTCTATTTTTTGTCGTGTAGCTATTCCAGTTAAAGACAGAAATAACTCTGCAAAAGAGAGTAAGCCCCCCCCCCCAAAAAAAGCAAAGCACTGTATTTAGATAATTTAAAAGTCTATCAAACAGTATGTTGCATTGGTACTACGGTAGTCCAGTCAGAGCATTAATCATTTTTATAATGCAACACTGCTGACCCCTAGTGTAAAATATAAGATACGAACCTAAAGCCCGCTATAAATTTTGTCGAAATATATCAAAAGATTTTAATGAAAGTATTTTTGTAAAACAAAAGCGTAGTATGTTATTAACAATGCTGAATGTACACGAAGGAAGAATAACAAAGCAACAAAGATGATCAGGGGACCGGAGGCTAAAACATACAAGGAACAGTTGCTGGAATTGGGTATGTCTAGTTTAATGAAGAGAAGGACAAGGGGGGACATGATAGCAGTCTTCCAATATCTCAAGGGCTGCCCCAAAGAAGAGGGAGTCAAGCTATTCTCCAAAGCACCTGAAGGCAGGACAAGAAGCAACGGATGGAAACTAACCAAGGAGAGAAGCAACCTGAAACTAAGGAGAAACTTCCTGACAGAACAATTAACCAGTGGAACAACCTGCCTCCAGAAGCGGTGAATGCTCCACAACTGGAAGTTTTAAAGAAGAGACTGGACAGCCATTTGTCCGAAATGGTATAGGGTTTCCTGTCTGGGCAGGGGGTTGGATTAGAAGACCTCCAAGGTCCCTTCCAACTTTACTACTACTACTACTGTTGTTGCTATTGTTAATTTGGTGAAGTTTGTAGTGGCCAACTTCCTTCTAATTCTTTAAAAAAATTTTTTAAAAAAAAGAGTTTTGTGGATAGGAACACCAAGCTAAGAGCCAGTAAGAACACAGCCCATTGCCTACCTGTACTTTACGAAATATACAATGGAAAAAGGCAGTTAAAGCTATATCAGGTCTGATGTAATGAAGGACAGAGCTGCTCAAAACAGGTAAGCAATTCAGAAAGAATCAGTCTCCAGAGAAGATAAAGGAGAATGTGAGAATGGGGAAGATCACAGTGGGACAGACCGGCTGGTAATAAAGAGATTCTGCTACACAGAGATCCCGCATCAGCCAAACAGTAACTGAGCTTGTAAAGTTACTCCTCAACTTACAACGACTCATTTAGAAACCGTTCGAAATTAGAACGGCACTGAAAAAAGAGACTTATGACCGATTTTTCACACTTGTGACCATTGCAGCATCCTCATGGTCACATGAAGAAAATTCGCACGCCTGGCAATTGGCTCATATTTACGACGGTTGCCGTGTCCCATGGTCATGTGATCCTCTTTTGTGACATTCCAACAAGCAAAATCAATGGGGAAGCTAGATTCACTTAACAACTGTGTGACTCGCTTAACTGCTGCAGCGATTCGCTTAACAACGGTGACAAGAAAGGTGCCACTTAACAACTATCTCGCTTAGCAACCGAAATTTTGGGCTCAATTGTAATCATAAGTTGAGAACTACCTGCATTAAAAAGGTAGCAGTAGTAGAAAAGAAGTAATGCAGAACTGGCACAAAGAAGATAAAGAACGAGTTCAGCACGAGGCTAATTAACCATTTGTCTCTGGTCTTCTTGAATTTCTTGAATTAAAAATGTCTTTCTGATCGAATTTTTACCTGGCTTGGCTTTACCTTTTTTTTTTTTTAGAAATTCAAATTTAAACCAGGCTTTTTAACATCCATCTGTTCCAGACTCTTCTCTAGTAAATTCTTTTTCCTTGTTTCAAAAAGAAATGCTGTTTGGCTTTCTAACAGAAAGGGATGGGGGCTGGAGAGCTTTCTAAAACAGACGCGTTCGGGTAAGTATCCTTACCTGTCCAAAAAAAAGTATACAGTCTCAAAATCAGTCACTTAAATGTTGTGCATATCATGGTGATATGACTGCAGAATACTGCAACCGATTGTAAATGCAAGCCGGCGGCTAAGCCCGAAATGAGGTCACGTGATGAGAAACTGTTGTAATTCCAAGGACAGGTTGTAAGTCGCTTTTTTTTTCGGCAAAATATGCCCATTTGGAAAAATGGACTCACTTAATCGCATGAACTGCTTCGTGGCCAACGAGGTTCACGTGAACTTCTTGACAGTTAGAACAATTAACCAGTGGAACAACCTGCCTCCGGAAGCGGTGGATGCTCCAACACTGGAAGTTTTTAAGAAGAGACTGGACAGCCATTTGTCCAAAATGGTGTAGGGTTTCCTGTCTGAGCAGGGAGTTGGATTAGATGACCTCCAAGGTCCCTTCCAACTTTATTACTATTACTACTCAAATCAAGTCCGGTCATCTGCTGCCTCAACTTTCAACTACAAAGGATTATGACGGAAATTCCGCGTTCTACTACAGTCCTATCTTGTTGTTGTTGTTAGTTGCGAAGTCGTGTCCGACCCATCGCGACCCCATGGACAACGTTCCTCCAGGCCTTCCTGTCCTCTGCCATCTTCTGGAGTCCATTTAAGTTCACGCCTACTGCTTCAGTGACTCCATCCAGCCACCTCATTCTCTGTCGTCCCCTTCTTCTATTGCCCTATCTGTACTGGGATATCTGCAGGCTGGAGCTTGGTGCCTGGCCAGAAGGACTGGTGGGCAGATTGTGCTGAATAGGGTGGGTATCCCAAAGGTGGTTTTTCAGGAGGCAACTGGACTTTCTTGTTTTTCTTTGAAGATGCTTCGCTTCTCATCCAAGAAGCTTCTTCAGCTCTTCAGACCTGAATGACTGAGAATCTCCATAGATAATAAGGTTGGTAGCATGCTCATTTGCTATGACTTGCTATTATGTCTAAACTAGAGAAGCACTCAAGAATTTCTAAGAATAAGAATAAAGATCAGTTGCACATCAATATAAAGTTAAAAACACTTCTGAACCTAACGGCTTTTAAAAGATGGTGTCTTATAACCATTTATTGGAGGCCATTGTATTCAAACTGATTAATATGCACATCACTTGTTCAAAATATATTGAAATGGCACTTTATGATCTGCATTCTGTTACGTAAAATTAAAAGACCATCTACTTTTCAATTTCGGAGATAAATGAAACCTGAAAGAGTTATAACAAATAATGTATATCTGAAAAGCCAATACGGTTAGTCCTCGACTTACGAGCCCAAAATTTCTGTTGTTAAGTAAGACATTTAAGTCAGTTTTGCCCCGTTTTACGCCCTTGCTTGCCACAGTTGTTAAGTGAATCACTGCAGCTGTTAAGTTAATAACCATGGTTGTTAAGTGAATCTGCCTTGCTCATTGACTTTGCAAATGGGGATCACGTGACCCCGGGACTCAGCAAAGGTCATAAGTATGAGACAGTTGCCAAGCATCTGAATTTTGATCACATGATCCTGGGGATGCTGCAAAGGTCGTAACTGTGGAAAATGGTCATAAATCACATTTTTCAGTACCGTTGTAACTTTGAACAGTCACTAAATGAACTGTTGTAAGTCAAGGACTACCTGTACGTTCAATCTGTAAAAACTAGTTGCTTTCTAGAGTCAAGCATTTATGTTTGAGGAATAAGATACGATAACCTTTATTGTCATTTTTTTTTTTACTGTGGGCACAACGGCACACATCAAAAATGAAATTTAGTTGCCCGCTCTCAAAGTGAAACACATACATGACGCACACCTAAACATACTATGTACAACACATGTATAGACCCACACCCCTACATATACATAGCAAATAAATATTAACTACCGTCCATCTTGAATATATAACGGAAGGAGGAAGCTTGAGAGTTCACAAGGTTAATGCTGTACGGAATGAAACTACGGTTGAATCTGAATGAATGAAACGTACTCTACGTGCAAAAAAAAACCAAAAGAAAATGGACATATAAATAGAGAATGTGGCATAATGATATTTCTGAAAACTCAGATATTATCTTTACAGAACGGCTTTTTGCAGGCATCAAGTTCCTCGCTGTGCAAAATGAAGCCCAGGACTAGAAAGGTGTTTGGCCTAAATTATTAAGGTTCTTCTGTTCTTAAAAATAATTCAAAGACCGATGGAGAAATTAATTCCTAGCTAAAAAAAAGGAAAGCGTGCGCTCACCTGACGAAGGTTAATATAAACAGCATTTTGGAGGAATTCAGACGCTTCCATGCTTCTTTTCTGTATTGCAAGCACTCTCACCGCCTTCACACAAGCTTCCAGTTCAATAACACCAGCGTTTTTATACTAGAAGAAATAGATAATGGATTAAAATATTGGTCAACTGTATACTTCCTCATCACATTATACAATATATTTCTGTGTAAGAATCCTAGCCTCTTTGGTATAATAGATCAAGCTATATTGCTCTACAACTCAATATGCATCTATTTTGCTGAGATGTACTAGTCAGGGCTAAAACATAGTATCATTAACCAAGTCATATGGTTGCATCTATGGATACATAAAGAGCCACAAATTATAAAACCATTCTCTTATTTTTTTATATCATTTGAATAATAATTCAAGTAATTCTATTGAGTAAAACAATTCAAGAAATGGCAGCCAAAATTCAATTCAATTCCCTTCCTTCCTTCCATCTGAAATACGGTCACTGTTCGTAAATTCTAATTATTCTTGTTTTTAATCATTTCGTAATTTTCACGTACTTCTGAAAACAGAAAAGGAAGTCCATATTGAAAAAACGCTTATTTACACTTTTACATCTTATTCTATTTTTTATTTCATGTATTTCAAAGCATAAGCCCATTCTTTCCTATGTTAACTCTTTTTGTGTTCCTTTAAAACAATATTAAAAAATATTAGCTAGCCATTCTTTTTTTTTTAAACGGCATTTCAAAAAGGTAATGGGGAAAAAATTAAATTATGCATTTTTTTTTCTGAAATGCCTGCATTTTCTTCCAGCCTTCCCATCTCTATATGTCGTATCCAATATCTTTTGTTTTCGTTTCCCAGTAAAATTCCATTTAATCTAGACATAATTATATTCCATTGTGTCACATTGCCACAATGCAAGACAAAGATTCATCACAGCAGCATTTTTAGTAGCTTTGCTATAAGTTCTGTCTCCAGAGTATTATGGAACCATAGTATTAAAAAAGGGAAAACCTATGCGCAGACAATGCACAAAGCTAATCTACAGGTATGCCTGCTTAATAAGTATGCCTTTTTGGAGACAAATCACATCTATGGCACCAACTAGCTTGATTCCTCTCTTCCCAAACCTCACATTTATCTCTTCCCCTTTCAGCACACAAGTCAAAAAAGGAGGGTAATATTAAAAAAAAATACCTCTACTGCAAAACAAATGCTCTTATTAATAATAAAAAAACAGACACATTTCTCAAGAGATATATTAAATATATGAATGTGCAGCTCAACATCCTCTTAAACATATTGCCTCTATCTTCTGATATTGTCATAAGCAAAAAACAAGCAGCTTTAGCTTTTTTCTTTTGATTAACAAAGTTTAGAACTATATCTACGTTTTCTGTTATGGTTGCTGTGATCTAGTGGAAATATATTTATTTATTATATTTATACCTTGCAATCCTGAAGGACTCTCAAGAGTTTATAAGAAATACAACAGACAAAATTTCTATGGCTGAAATAAAGCAAATAAATCTTGATCATGGCATAATCCCAAATGCCTTAGAGCAGTGATGGCGAACCTTTGAGAGACCAAGTGCCCCAAACCTGCCTTGCCCCCCGCGCCACTCCCATTCCGTGCCCTGCCTCACCCGCGGGGCCACCCACCACCTCCATGGCTTGCAGCAGATCACCCAGGCGGCCCAGCAGCACCATGGCCATGCCTTCCGCCCATGCCCTGCAGCATCATCTGCGCGTGACGGGGCGTGAGGGCGGAGTCTTGTCTCAGCTGCCATGTCCTTGGCTGCGCTGCTCTGTGCAGGCCACGCCCAGGGGCAACTCTCCACTGAGGGGGCTGCTGGTGAGGAGGAGCCTGTGGGGGGAGGCAGGGCTAAGGCGACAGCCATAGGTTCGCCACCACTGCCTTATAGAAAAGCTCGGGGGGGGGGTGTTTCTGCCTTAGCCTCCATCATCTCTTGAAATTGGAGAAGAAAGTCCTAGTGACCTAAACTTTGCTTGGTAGTTGATTTGTTTCTCCAAACCACTTATTGTTAATCATAGTCTGGGCAAATTCAGACAAAGATAATGAGTCATTTCTATTTTTAAAGGAAGATTCCAAATTTCCTCCGGTAACTGGGCCAAAATGGGGAACACAAAAGGACTGAGATAGCAACGACCCCAAGATTTGATAAAAAATAATTGATAAATCATACATTTATGTTACTTCTCACTCCAAATATACAAATAAACCTTTTTTGCATTTGAGAATGAATCTAGAATTTCTCTTTAAAAACACTGACATTTACACTGACATTCTTTAGCAAATGAAGCAATGGATGGAAACTAACCAAGGAGAGAAGCAACCTAGAACTAAGGAGAAACTCCCTGACAGTTAGAACAATTAACCAGTGGAACAACCTGCCTCCAGAATGCTCCAACACTGGAAATTTTAAGAAGAGACTGGACAGCCATTTGTCTGAAATGGTGTAGGGTTTCCTGCCTGAGCAGGGGGTTGGACTAGATGACGTCCAAGGTCCCTTCCAACTTTATTATTATTATTATTATTATTATTATTATTATTATCATCATCATCATCATCATCATCATCATCATCATCATCATCATCATCATCATCATCATCATTATTATTTATTACTATATAAAAATGAGCAGCTATGTAAAAAAGTGCTGGTTCGTCCAATTAGCACTTCCACAAATCTCCAACTGTTCTTTAAGTCTATTATCAGTCATGTACATGCTGTCCAGGAGTGGGCAACTATGATAACTTCACGACCTATGGACTTCAACTCCCAGAATTCCTGAGCCAGCTACGGTCTATTATCATGGATGCACATTTATGATTCACCATATATAAGCTCACTTATTATAGCAACGTTACCTTGCTGTAATAGGAAATAGCTTCTTTGTACTTCTCAATGATGTCTTCCGGGCTCAGACAATTCTTAGCTCGCCCTATTTCAGAACTTGTATCTGCACTGATGCCATTTGATGTGAGGGCCCCTGCATAAAATTAAAGCAGAACATTTCAACTCAACCACCACTCTCAGGTCAGAATAAAACAAAAACGTTTTGGAAATCCTTGCTAAGTCAAAAAAAAAAAAAAAAAGCTTGAGCAAAGAACTGATCGGGGGGGGGGTCTTTGGGGCTCTCTGAGCTTGGTTGCAGACATTACATTAACCCAGGGGTGTCAAACTCAATTTCATTGAGGGCTGCATCAGCATTGCAGTTGCCCTTGGGGGGGCTGGGGGTGTGTGGCCAGGGTGGGTGCGGCCTACTGGGTGAGCGTGGATGGAGTGGGTGCGGCCTACTGGGTGGGCATGACCAGCTCTACATCGTTCACGTCAAGGGTGCCTGTGGGGGCCTGGGCAGGAGTGGGACAGATCTGAGGGTCTCTGGCAGAAGGGGGTGGGACCGGGGCAAGTGCCAAGGCATGGTCCATTTCTTCATTCCTCACAAAGGGTGACACCTCCCCAGCATGCACCCAGGGGGCGGGGCCGACACGGCAGGGGCTGGTTCCTCGCTGTTTCCAGACGGCCTTGTGGAGCTAAGACTGAATGCGTTTCAGCATAGATGGCCACCACAAAATTGTACATTGGCTCCCGGCCGGCTTGGGCCAGGGCCAAGGCAGTGGGGGCCGTTCCCTCACTGTTTCCAGGATGGCTTCGCGGGCCACATGAAACCACTTCGCAGGCCGCATCCGGCCCCCGGGCTTTGTGTTTGACATGTCTGCATTAACCTAACTAAATAATCATCAATGCTAGTGACCACCAAAGACCCCTCCGTTCAACCCTGAGTTTAAAAAAAATATTCTCCTTTATTGGTACAAACTGATCAATTCAAAATGTAGTCAAAATGGCAGAGATCTTGAGATTTTTTTTTCCCCAAAAAGTATTGAGTCATGCATTAAGCAAAACGAAAAATGTTTGAATTAAAGCTGGATGGATATATACTGTTTAAAAAGCATAGAGAAAAAGCTCTGGCCAAATTAATAAACTGATACTCAGCTCTTATGTTTCTGCTAACTTAATTTAATTATACTATCGCTTCTCTTAGCTGCAGCAATTTACTGAAGGAAATGACTCACGGCATTTTAGATGAATTTGCTATCATAAAAATTACAATAAAAAAAATTGGATTCCAAATGGGGGAGGGGGGGAATGTGCTAGTCAGAACTATCTGAGCAAGTGAACAGGAAGAACCAATAGGAGCTCGCCAACAGAATTTGGCAGGGACTTCGGAGAGAATCCCTAAAAAAAATTCCATCAAAGTCAACAGGCAGTCTGAGAATTAGGCTGAAAACTTTAAGAAAAACCTTAAGAAATAAAAGTGGGTAAGATTCCTAATTTGTCCTAAAATACTTCTGGGACATTAGTGTTCCTGCCTAAAATAGTGGATTTTAATAAAATCAAAGCAATAGTTAAGTAGGATTCCAGAGAGAGGGAAGCTAATGAGAAAAGAAAGTTGAGTTCTTTAAAAACAACTTACCAAAAATTGCAACCTATTCCAAAGACTAAAAAATAGAGGATAGACAAAACAAGACACACAACGAAGAGAAGGATGAGGGGGGACATGATAGCAGTGTTCCAATATCTCAGGGGCTGCCCCAAAGAAGAGGGAGTCAAGCTATTTTTCAAAGCACCTCAAGGCAGGACAAGAAAGGATGGAAACTAACCAAAGAGAGAAGCATCCTAGAATTAAGGAGAAACTTCCTGACAGTTAGAACAATTAACCAGTGGAACAACCTGCCTCCAAAAGTTGTGGATGCTCCAACACTGGAAGTTTTTAAGAAGAGACTGGACAGCCATCTGTCCGAAATAATAATAATAATAATAATAATAATAATAATAATAATAATAATAATAATAATAATAATAATAATAACAACAACAACAACAACAACAACAACAACAACAACAACAATAATGAAGTTTGAAGGGACCTTGGAGGTCATCTGGTCCAACCCCCTGCTCAGGCAGGAGACCCTATACCATTTCGGACAAATGCCTGTCCAGTTTTTTCTTAAAAACTTCCAGTGTTGGAGCATTCACCGCTTCTGGAGGTAGTTGTTCCACTGGTTAATTGTGGTGTAGGGTTTCCTGCCTGAGCAGGGGGTTGGACTCGATGACCTCCAAGGTCCCTTCCAACATCATCATCATCATCATCATCATCATCATCATCATCATCATCATCATCATCATCATCAAGATGGAAAGAGGTACAGATCAACAAGAAAAAACTCAGATCTGTAGAGAGATTGTTAAGAAAGCTAAATCTGAAACTGAGTTCCTCAAAGCAACAAAAATAATCTTGTACACAATATATTCAAAATCAAATAGTCAAAATTCCAACTTCTTAATGTTGACAGTAACATTCTAATTGGCAGATTTTGGGTAATGTACTGGAATCTGCTGATTTTCTGATAGAATCTTTATGTATTATTTATGAGAAAGATGAAGTTCCAGATGAGGGAGATAAACAAATCATCTGGACGAAATTAGGGAAAGAAAAGAATTGAAGGGGGAAAAACTATAGATCAGTCAGTATCAATATATGGGAAAGTTCTAGATCAGATCATAAAATAATTAAATTGTAACTGGATGACAATTACCAGAAGTCAACATAGGTTATTAAAAAAAAGACGAAGAAACGATTGGAGAAATTTTAAATGGGCAAGATTCTAGTCATCAGTGTGTGGTGTATATTTTTTTAAACACAGAAGTGAAATTTCTAAAGCAACGTAGGCAGTGGAAAACTATTAATAAAACACTTAACTGACAAAACACAGTTATAAAGTCAATATACCTGGATCAATAAGAACTTCTTGTGCACCTAGGGGGAAAAAATCGAAACAACAGTGTTAACCTTCTACATTGCCTAAACAAAACAGTGTCCAAAATTTTATTTTATTACTTTATTTTAGTTACATTTTTGAAGCTCACGTCAATATACATAATGCTCTCTCTTTCTATTTTTCCCCACAACAGCCCTTTGAATTTTATTGGGTTGAGAGAGTCTGTTTCCAAAACTCAGGGTAAAATTGAACCTGCATTTCCTCATTGACAGTCTAGCATCTTAATCACTACTGTATTATTCTTAATACAGGTAATCTTTGACTTACAACCAGTCGTATAATTAATAAATAAATAAATAAATAAATAAATAAATTGGAAGGGACCTTGGAGGCCATCTAGTCCAACCCCCTGCTCAGGCAGGAAACCCTCTACCATTTCGGACAAATGGCTGTCCAGTCTCTTCTTAAAAACTTCTAGTGTTGGAGCATTCACAGGTTCTTCCATTGGTGAATTGTTCTAACTGTCAGGAAGTTTCTCCTTAGTTCTAGGTTGCTTCTCTCCTTGATTAGTTTCCACCCGTTGCTTCTTGTCCTGCCTTCAGACACTCCCTCTTCTTTGGGGCAGCCCCTGAGATATTGGAATACTGCTATCCTGTCCCCCCTCGCCCTTCTCTTCGTTAAACTAGACATACCCAATTCCAGCAACCGTTCCTTATATGTTTCAGCCTCCAGTCCCCTAATCATCTTTGTTGCTCTTCTCTGTACTCTTTCTAGAGTCTCAACATCTTTTTTACATCGTGGTGACCAAAACTGGATGCAGGATTCCAAGTGTGGCCTTACCAAAGCATTGTAAAGTGGTATTAACCCTTCACATGATCTTGATTCTCTCCCTCTGTTGATGCAGCCCAGCACTGTGTTGACTTTTTTGGCAGCTGCAGCACACGGCTGGCTCATATTTAAGTGATTGTCCACTAGGACTCCTAGATCCCTCTCACAGTTGCTACTATTGAGCAAGGTACCCACTATACTATACCTGTACATTTGGTTTTTCTTGCCTAAATGTAGAACCTTGCTTTTTTCACCATTGTTAGATAGTGCCCAGTGTTCAAGTCTGTCCAGATCCTTCTGTGACCGTTGGGAGTTACAACAGCCTCAGAAAGGGTGTCTTACGGCCCTTAAAGCATTGCCATCATAAAATGTCACGCTGCCCCCTTATGATCACAGGACCTCATTTTAGGTGTTTGGCAACCAACTCACATTTAAGACTGGTTGCAAAGTCCTGCAGTCCCATGACTGTGATTTGCAACATTTTTCCCAGTGAAAAACACCCATTCAGGAGAATGGATTTGGACTTATGACCGTGTGATTCCCTTAACAACTGCCACAAAAATGACCGTAAAATCGGACCCAGTCACATGGGCGCCTCGATTTATGACTGAAATTCTAGTCCAAATTGCAGTCTCAAGTCAAGAACTACCTGTGCATTCTTTCTAAAACGTTTTTTTTATTTATTTAGAGGGTTCTCAGAAGTGTTACTGTGTAAGTGCCACAAGTACTGTATTCCCGACACCGCTACTAATATCAACACCTCAGATTCAGCAAAACCTCTTTGGTCTCACGTCTAAAATCCAGCTTCTTTTCCCCTCTGGCATCACACCTTCACGTTCTAATTTTTACTTCAGTTCTGCTCCCAAATAAAACTAGCTAATTGAAAGCTTTGTAGTCAGTCGATTACATGTGCAACAAAGCCATCTTTCGGCAAGGTCGGTGCTATTTTTTTCTCACGTGGATGGTATAGTTTTCAACATTTTTTTTAAAAAACCCCACTAAGCTCTAATTTTTATATGCGGACAAAAACTTTGTGCTGCTGAGAATTGAGAAGCCGTAGGAGTCCATGAGGCTAAAATAAATCTTAAATGCAGCCTAAGCACACTTTCAACAGAGATTCCAATTAAGCTTCAAAGAAAAATAAACCCTCCAAAATTTGTGAAAAATATTTAACCGGCATATATATATTGGCGACGTTTCGACGAGGTCCCACTCGTCATCTTCAGGCTGGGGTCTTCGGCTTCGTGCTTGTGCGAGCAAAGTGTGATCGGAGCTGCCGATGGGGTGTGTGTGTGTGTGGAGTGCTGCCTTTGTTTCTGTAAGTGGGTTGGTTGGCTGTGTTGGAGTTATTGTTTGTGGATTGGTTGGCTGTTTCGTAACATCCTGAGTAGCTGAGGTGCTGGCTGTGTGTCCAATAGTCTTTTGTGTTGTAACGACCTGTATAATGGGCTGTGTGATGACCTCCTGAGATCTAGTGTAGTGATATCCTGAGTTCAAAAACCACTCACCAACCTTTGCAGTTCTAGGAAGGAAACGTTACTAATGGGCACACAGCCAGCACCTCAGCTACCCAGGATGTTACGAAACAGCCAAACAATCCACAAACAATAACTCCAACACAGCCAACCAACCCACCTACAGCAACTAAGCCAGCACTCCACACACCCCCACCAATATTTATAGAGAGACGGCAGCTCCGATCATACTTTGTTCGCACAAGCACGAAGCCGAAGACCCCAGTCTGAAGATGACGAGTGGGACCTTGTCGAAACGTTGCCAAGATACTCTCAATCTTACATGGGAAAAGACCCGAATACGCCAAGACCTGCATACCTATACCCATGAAAATCTACAAAAACAAATATATATATGTATATATATATGTATATGTATGTATGTGTGTGTGTATGTGTGTATGTATATGTATATGTATGTATGTATATATATATATCCAAATTTCTTTTTTGTTGACAAAGAGTTAAAGAATTAAATGGGAGACTAGAATAGCTATTTCGAGCTTATTTTGCTCTCATCAGCTATATATATACTAGACAAAAAAAATGTCATCGCAACTTAAAAAACAACTACACAAGCTTTTGCTTACCAGGTCTGTGCCTGTTACCTGCCTCTGCGGAAAATGAACCTCCTTGCGCCCTGCGAGGCCCAAGTTTACCTCCAGTGCCTCCAGGATAGTGATAGATGACGGAAGCTGAACATAATCCTTCAAGAGCAGCTATAGATGAAAACAAATCTTTTAATGGCAGTTTTATCGCAGCCGATTCATGTAGTAAATATATTTCATTCGAGACAATCATACATCTAATAGAGTACATTAAATGCAAGGAATATAAAAAGCGGTCCAGGAACAAAAACTGCTACAAAGATTGACAAAGAATCATAATATTCAGCTTTTCTTCTATAGGAAGATGGGCATGGCAGTTATCTATGTACTCAGATGAGCTGATCACCTGGCCAAAAACAGAGGACATCGCTTTTTACAATGAATATGTCGTGGTTCCAACAGATGAAACTCTTCAAAAGAACTTCGAGGCATTGTTTACCTTAAAGGATCTTTTATTCGAGTAGCATAATATCAGCACTTCATAATCAAAGCCAAAAGCTGAATTCCCCTCCCCTGGGCACATAGTATCAAAGCACAATTCCCTCCTCCAATTAACAGTCATAAATCACATTCCCCAATTAGCTTGAAGCCGCAGGCTTCCTCTCCAGTTCTCCAGCCCGCCAATTCTTTATCAGCTCTGGGCTCAATAACCTTGATTCTCACGCTAAGCTTAGTGTTGTTATGTCTAGCTAGACTCTCATTCACATCCCCCCCCTCCCAGCATCATCTAACTCTAAAAGCGAAAGGGAAAAAGATGGCTACATTGCCATCTGTTGTCCATGCAAAACATCCGATGCTGGCAGCGTTGACAGAATATATAAAATAATTTGGACGACGTTCTGCTTTCATATTAACAGCATTTCCCCCCAAACTCAAGGGCCTGCAAGTTTTATTTCAGCACACTTTTTACTCTAAGAAATGTGGCTTGAATTTCTATTCCATATATTACAGGCAGTCCTTGCCTGAACAGTGGCGTTGACAGAGGCGGTCAACTTTATGCATTTCCATCGCTGACCGACACAGTCATCAAGGGCCAATGTCATGTAACCGCCCGGTTTAGCAACAGCCATCTCAGCAGTCCCTGTTTTCTGTGTTAAAGTGAGGATCATGGATGGTGAACGGAGGACCTCCTGGCAACTTCTGACAGCTACCAACAGCCAAATAGGCAGGTATCTGGTTGCTGAAGTGCCCTGCAAGCACAATCACCAGGAGGGGATCCTGCAGAGTAAGGCAGGGCATGCAGGTGTTTCAACGGTCGTTAAGTGTCGACCAGTTGCCAAGCAACTGGATCATAATATGACCATTGGGGATGGTGAGATGTCTGGAATTCCAAGGACTGGTCGTTAAGTGGTGGGATTCAGCCGGTCCGCACCACTTCGGCAGAATCTGTAGCTAATTTTTTGTTGCCCAGGCCCATATTGGACTTCTGGAAGCGGCATCCGCGCAGAGAACCGGTTGTTCACCTATTTGAATCCCACCACTGGTCGTAAGTACCACTCATTCAACACCGTTGCAGTTTCGAACAGTTCTGATTGAGTGGTCATAAACCAAAGGCTGCCTGTGTAGTATTTCGTATTTCATAATCCAAAAGCCCAGAGAACATCACAAAGTCTGTTCAAAGAAAACACAAACGAGGCATTTGTTCTCTACTATTTTTCTGGAACAGTTCCCATTCTCTGTGCAAGCCCGAGAATCACAAATTACTGCGAATTTTAGAGCCATATCTATTTTATGGTGACCCTTCATTAGTATTAATATTGCTTATTGTTAATAGTTTATTTTATTTGTTTATTAAACATCTATGCCCATCCCTATCATTAACGCAGCAATTCCGGGTGGCTTAATAATGTACACTTTGAATCGCAAAACGTCTTCCAATAAAATATAGGAATTAAATAACACAATAATATCTCAGAAGTCAGAGCCCCCCAAAGCTTTCTAAATACAATTACGTTTTATTTCCAACGCTATCGTCCCTACCTCCAAGCCACAAAAAGTCATTTACAGAACGGAGAAGTTCCACAGCCATATGATAGTGAACAAAGGAATCTTGCAACATCCCGGCTTGTAGACAAAGGTCCCCAACATGTTTCCGCATACGACCCTGACATCGCTTTTTATAATGTCTAGGATACAAAAACAAACGGGACAGAATTAGTTCAATTGTGCTGTTCTAGCAGAGAGTGTCTTTTTTTTTTTTCCCCCCCTTTGGTCATCTCCTTGAGTTTGCATCTTACTGACAAGCAATCGAGGATCCTCACCAAGAGTTAAGAAGCCTATTCACAGTTATCAGAATGCTCACTATAGCGCAGCAGGCCCCAACATTTTGGGCACCAGGGATCAGTTTCATGGAAGACAATTTTTCCACGGATGGGGAGGAGGGAGGGAGCACACAACCTAGATCCCACGCGTGTGCAGTTTCACTAGCCCACTGCTCACTTCCATCTATGGGACCTGATTCCTAACAGGCCATGGACTGGTACCAGAAAATAAGATATTGTATTCTTGGAAAGAAACCTGCAGCATGTACGCAGAATACTATCAATGGCTTTCTCAACACTTTTGTCTAAAAGTTCAATGTGGATCTCTTTAGCCATGGAATTGGGTGAACCTTTTAATTAATAACCTCTTCTTTTAATTAACCATCAAGCAGCACTTACTGTGTTGGCAAACAGAGGTATCCTATGACAATTAGGAAGATCAATGCTTAAAATAATTTCGGATGGACTCAGTATGAATTCCAAGCTTAGTAGCAGGCAGATGTTCCATGCTGACCCTTTTTTTTATTACACCTTCTAAGGACAAAATAGTTTGATGTTTTGCAATCTTTGGAGAATGTCCGGTGACACGTCTTACTTAGGGCGTGCGCTTTCGTTCATGCACTGAGTATTTAAATGATTTATACGACGTCGTATCATTCAATTGTGAACTAAAACTTAATTCCACGTCTTCAGATCAGGTGAGAGAAAATGGCATTTTTAAAATGGCAAGTTAATTTCTACCAATTTGAAGGTGTTATTTGCCTATAAATGAGAAAATTATTTCCTAAAAAAACTAATTATCTTTATGAATAGGTTCATTACACATTTTATGGCACAGTTGATTTCCTCTCAATAGAATGATCGCCCTGTTTAAAATTTCAGTTTTATTACCGACTTCTATTGACAATTCATATTACAAGTTCTTATGGGTTGGGGGGGGGGGGAAATCACTAATACTGAAATACTGCAAAAATACGAGAGACAAATAACAGTAGGTATACCTAAACCTGACAGTGAGGACAATTAACCAGTGGAACAGCTTACCCCCAGAAATTGTGGGCGCTCCATCACTGGAAATTTTCAAAAAGAGATTAGACAATCACCTGTCTGAGATGGTATAGGTTCTCCTGCTTGAGCAGGGGGCTGGACTAGAAGACCTCCAAGGTCCCTTCCAGCTCTATTCTATTCTATTCTATTCTATTCTATTCTATTCTCATACTATAACATTGCAGTTTTATTGCATTTATCTAGCATATAAGCAGAGTAGAATAAAGTAATTTGTACACCAAATGGATCAATTATATTTATCACAGGTAGCTTTGAGACATATGTGAGCCACTGGATCTTCCTTTCAGAAATATTTCCTTACCAGATTCCTCAACGTCTTCAACAATGACAGAACTGCCTTCCCTGGAAAAGTTGTGATACATTCAGAGATGTATCTGCCTTGAAAATGTCCCATGTTGAACTAGCACAATGAAATATCGGAACAGGAAATGTTTATGACATTTTGCATTATGTCATAAACTGTTTAGCCCACATTGAAGTGTATAGCACAGACAAATGTCAGCACAGGAAATGTTTATGACATTCTGTATTATGGCATAAACAGTTAAGCCCACGTTGAAATGTGTAGCACAGTGAGACATCAGCACAGGAAATGTTTATGACACTTTTCATGTCATAAACTGCTTTATGATAAGGCTTACGTCATGCATTTTTTTTAGAATTCGCCAAATTTCAGTTCCACGGAATCCTGGGTCCTGAATTCTATATGCATTCTGCAAATTTTGTCCTATGGGATACTAAGTTTTTGCTCAGTTAAAATTTATAGGAACAAGAGTTTTAGTTATCTATAGATAGACATACTTAAGACATAAAGATACAGTAGCATAACATAACCGTAACATAACATAACATAACAAAGATAACATAACATAATTTTTATCATCAAGATTTAGTACAGCATCTTACACATTCAAATTAAATATAAAACAAATATTTCTATCTCCTTTTAGTTTACAAAAGCAATCATGCAGGACACGCTTGCATTTCACAAAAAACAATATACAATAGTACAAGACACAACAAGCATTTTCATTTTTTTAAATTAGCATATACTCATACTTCATTGGCTTGCCTACCATGTTCAGCAGTAAGAACTGCTGTATGTTTTAAAATGCTAAGTATGTTTTTGGTAAATTATTTTTTTACTAGCAAAAGGAAAGATGATTTCTTTATAGGGATGTATTTTACATTAGTCTTAAGACATATTTCACCGTGTTATTATCTTAAGTTTAAATTCCCAGTATCTCCAGCTGGAAAGAAAATCAAGAGATCTGATCCTGGCAGATCTGTCACTAGTCAAAACAGACAAACTCTTATTAAACGGCCGAATGGTTTGATTAAATATAAGGCTTCAGAAGCTTCCTTTGATTTTTTTTTGTCTTAATAGCTCTGTTCCTACTGTCATGCTTATTCCTCTCTTAATGGAATTTTGAACTAAAAGAAAAAAATGAACGTGCATGCATTATAATATGTTAAGATAACTAAGGTAAAGAATACTTTCACTAAAAACTTTAGTGAATTAAGTCGGGTCAGCAAATTCTTCCTGTCAGTGGTGTATTATTATTAGTTTTTGCTGCTCAAAGAAAGAAAATGATATACTTTTCAGGCCTGTAGTCATAAAGCCCCATTAACAGGGTCCTTGGCAAATCTGATTATTTTGCAACTTCAAGCCATTCAGACAGAAATTAAGGACAGATATCTGGTTACTACCAGATAATCTATAAAGTAAATCTTAATTAAAAAAGCAGAGGTATGCCTGAATGAATCGAATTACCCTAGAGATCTTCTCAAAACTCTTTATTTATAGCTGAGTGTAAATGCTGAGCTGAGATTCCATCTGCTCAGCTAAAAGACCAGCTTGATCTAGTAGAATCTTTCCCAGAAATGTTTTTTTTTTCAACTTAGTTGTTGCTGTCATCTAATTTTGATCCTCCTTTCCACCCAGTGGATACCCATCTAGAATGAAAACTGGAATTTAATGTCCTATTTTTCTTTTTTCCTCATAATCTTATTGGTTTTGTTATTCTGACCAGCAACAGGGTAGATGGACTAGTTACAGCAGTGAGGAGTGCACCGTTGAGAGACTAGAACAGGGGTCTTCAAACTTGGCCCTTTTATGACTTGTGGACTTCAACTCCCAGAATTCCTCAGCCAGGCACACGTGCCTGGCTGAGGAATTCTGGGAGTTGAAGTCCACAAGTCATAAAAGGGCCAAGTTTGAAGACCCCTGGACTAGAAAGACCAGGTTAGGGATAGGCCTATCTACATGGTCTTCAGGAATCGAAAATGACATGACGGCATATTAATCCACCAATTCCTCTTCAATGTAAAATTTAAGGTGAACAAATAAATATACACACAAACACACACATATTTTTGATACAGACAGCTCCAATATCCTTTTCAGCTGAAGGATGGTTTAAAAACATAAAACATTATTATGTAATCATCATATAACAAAATATAATAAAAGCCAAGACCAAAAAAAGTGTGGATTGCAAAAAAAAGGATCTTATCTGAATAACCATTCAATAGTTACCTAAGCATGGTAAAGAAAAATTAACAAACAGGAGCAGAGAATTGAGGGTACATAAAAAGCACACCGGGTGAAATTCTTGAATTCTTGTTCAAGATAAAAAAAAAAAACCACAGAACTAGAAAAACATGCAATGAGAAGAAATCAACTGGGTCCAAATGACAAAACAGTAGTTGGCAATTATACAAGTGAGTCTGAACCTTACATTTCCAGTTTCTTAGATTTATTTATTAGATTTTTTTTCTCCTGCATCTATTATTTTATAAATAACTCAAAGCAGCGAATGTACGTAATATTACTTTCTATTTTCTTCACAACAACTCTTTGATGTGAGTTGGGCTCAGAGACAGGGATTAACCCAAAATCACTCAGTCACTTTCATGCCTAAGCAGGACTAGAACTCATAGTTCCCTGGTTTTCTAGGCCAACACCTTAACCACTATACCAGGGGTAGGCAACCTTGGCTCTTTTATGACTCGGGGACTTCAACTCCCAGAATTCCAGTTGAAGTCCGCGAGTCATAAAAGAGCCAAGGTTACCTACCCCTGCACTACACCAACCTGGCTCTCCTTGCTTGTCAAACCAGAATTAGAAACCACATTTTGAAGACAATTGCCAATGTTTTTCAAGAAAATTATGAGTTGTGTTATGCCTACTCTAAAGGAATATGGGATAAGGATGCCTGTTCACCCCATAGCACAGGATGAGAGTGAGCAGGCTGGAACGAAACCCAATAAATTCAAGACAAAGATTCAGGACTTGAATTATTATGAAGAATTCGTCTTTTACCCACACGTGAAAGAGAAGCCAAAATCCCACCAAATTCTAAGAAATACAGGTCAAAAGAAAATATCCCATCAGTAATAGGGATTTACTCGGGAATTATCTACTGTTCATGAAAGTATACATCTTGAATACATGCAAAGCCAATCCTGTGAACAGCTCTTTTTTATGGAAACAGTGTCTGAAATTCTAGACAAACCAACGACCCAAAATTTAGGACCGTTGATTTTATCTGATGCTTTATCTTCTATGTATGAAAAGCCAAGCTTCTGAATCAGCTGTGAGCTATTGATTTTCTGCATTTCTGGCACAGTTAGTAGCTTGCTATACACAAGCTTACCGTAAAAAAAAATATCAGAAAAGTGGAAAGAGATGAAGGCAAATGCAAACCCAAGATTAACTCCCATTGTTTGCCATTACATCCGAACCAGCCAAGTATGATGGTGCATTTTGCAAGGGATATGAAATTGTTCTCCAT